TATTAGGGAAGATAACATGGTTTGATACCATGATTTGTGGCTTTTTTCCATATATGTCGGTCTTTGGTTATGGTTGTTCAGGCATGAGAATGAGACTGGTGATTGTTTGGGCCTTAGTGGTCATGTCAATTTGGGTTTGGACGGTGCAGACCTAGGTGATTTAGCTAGTTTTGAGGTCTCGAGGGCCTTACTTGAGGCCATGCCAGTTGAGTCGCATGACTCAAGAAGGAAACAATTTTTATGATCGACTCGAGGATTCCAGTTGGAAGCTGAGTGGTTGACAGATGGATTGGAATGTCGCTATCTACGACAGAGTTATGTTCTTCCAACTTGTTGCGCTCGAAGGAAAGACATAGCAGACTTGTGATATTCAGAGTCGGGGTGTAGAACTAGCACAAGGCTAGATAGTTGCGGTTTTTAGCAACATGTATGGCAGTGTGGGAATACACAAGAGGATCTTTGCGGCATGATTGCCTATAGATGAGATAAAGGGTCTGATTTCCCGTAGTATTCATAATGAGAATCAAAGAGGTTTTCCTTTTCCCTAAATTTTGTCTATCTTCCTGTTCCATATAATGAATGATGAATTGACTCTTAGGCAAAAGAAACGTAGACAAGAATATTAAGTCTAATATTATTAACCTAATTTATATTTGGGTCTATACTCAACCTAGTCTAATATATATGCAAAATGTTTTTTGGGCCCTATGATTTAATGAACCTTGTTATGATGCCCACACTTTGAATTATTTTTGGATCGACCTTGTAAAGCTATATACAATTACATAATATATATGTAGATGTTCAATTGAGACCATTACAATTTTGTGAGACATGAGGATGCAATCATAGCCACTCATATTGGAGATCAAAAAATAAAATAAAATATAAAGTGCAAAATAAAAGGAAAAATCCAAAAGTTCTTTTAAAAAAAATATATTGTTTTCGTTATTTAATATATCCGAAAAAATTAAAAAAGATAAAAAAAATCAGTATTTTTCTTGAAATATAAGTGAAATATTGTAATAAAATATTATACTATAAATAACTAAATCGAATTTTTAGAATGTTAGAATATTATAGTATTCTACTAAAATTGGTAGATATGCTAAACTATTATAATATGATACTTGAATTCTTAAATTTGTTAGAATATTCTAATATTTTATTAGATTTTTTTTGAATATTTGTAGTTTAATATGTTAGTAGAATATTTTAACATTTTAAAAATTTGATTTCAATATTTAGAGTATAATATTTTATTACAATATATCATGTATATATTTGAAAAAATGGTAATCATTTTATTTTATTATTTTCTCTTTTTGGATAAAATAAATTACGAAAATAATATTTAAAAAAATCAAAAAACTTCATTTATTTCGCAATTTAAAAATATTTTACTAGGATTGCGTTCCATATCTTTATATATATATATATATATATATATATATATATATATATATATATATATGAGAAAAAGGAATATACATTACAACCCCACCTAAGCTTAGGTACTAAACCTCTTGAAAATATATTGTTTTACTACATAAAAATTACGGTTAATGGACTCACGATTAATACTTCAAGATGTAAATTCAAGATCGACACAATAGGGTTTAGGGTTTAGAGTTTAGGGTTTAGGGTTTATGGTTTAGGTTTATGTTCAGGGTTTAAGGTTTAGGGTTTATGTTTAGGGTTTAGGGTTAGGGTTTAGGGTTTAGATTTAGGGTTTAGGGTTTAGCTTTAGTGTTTAGGGTTTAAATTTATGGTTTAGGTTTAGGTTTAGGTTTAGGGTTTAGTAATGTTCACTTGGATGAAGTAATAAATGATAATTGAGGAAAGAAAACGGAGATGATAAAACGATAATGAAAGAAAGAAATGTTATGGAGAATGATATATTTACTAAGTGAAACCAAATTGGGTATATTTAGCATGTTAAAATGACATATTTTAGAGGTTTAGTACCTAAGTTTAGGTAGGGTTGTAATGTATATTCCATATCCCCTATATTCCCTATCCCCTATATATATATATATATATATATATATATATATATATATATATATATATATATACACACACACACACACACGGTCCAATTCGGTTTTATACGGTTTGAAAAGTATGAAACCACAAACCAAATTGTTCATGACATTTTAAAAAAAATTTGAAACGCCAAACTATAAAACCAAACCGATACCCGATTTTGTCAGTTTCACTGTTTGAAACCGAACCATAAACGCCATAGTAGAAGCGGTTTCTTATATGGGAGGACATCTAGCTAACAGGTAAAATGGATTTTTTGTCCTTATAATGCATAAATAAATAAAAATTATAGAACATTAACAAAGAATAAAGCGTTCATATGGCCAAAGCACCCATTACATCTCTTAACAAACCTATCAATTTTAGATTGAGTTCGGAGGTCCAATTGTAAAATTTCATCTTCTTAAGCAAAACGAGGCCTTTTTTTTTCTTTCACGTAAACTGTTTAGTTGGGCCACAACTCTCTATTCGAAGCATTTCGGGCCGGAGTTATATAAATTGGCCTAGGGTTTTAATATAATCTCCTGCCGTCTACTGAATATCACCACTGCAAGAGGTAAAGAAGGTAGAATCGCCGTCGCCGTACTTTGTACCGGAGTAATCCCTCTATCTCTACACGTTTATTTTCCATCCTTTTTTATCAGCTCCTCGTATATGTAATCACACATGTTATGCGTGTCACTCTCTGTTATTTATGTATTATTTATCGAAGGATTACAATGTCTACGAGACTTTGTTAGTAATAATGTCTGCATACTTGTTTCAAATCATGTTGAAGTTGTACTGTTTGTATGTTCTTTTGTGGAGGTTAGATGTTGCGTAAAAATTAGAGTTTCATATATGCCTTAATACGCTGATTACATTTCCTTTTGTCTATATTGCATATGTTGATTGTTCTGTAGTGTAGAGCTTTAATACTTATTTGATCTTATGCTGGATCGCATCATTGACTAAGGTTGTGATTAACAGTATCTAGAAGATGGCGTATGCAGCGATGAAACCAACAAAGCCAGGGCTAGAAGAGCCTCAAGAACAGATTCACAAGATTAGGATTACCCTTTCCTCCAAGAATGTTAAAAATCTTGAAAAAGGTACGTGTTCTTTCAACCTCAGTTATTTCAGCAGATCCTTTAACTTATCTGTTCATTCTTGTGTATGTAATTATGGTGCTGAGGGGAACTTGTGTTCTTCATTGGTTGTTACTAACAAAATGACTAAACTACCATGATATAATAATCATTTGATCTCTATATTGGTGATTGTTTAGAAGAGTCTTGACAAACTTTAATGAATTGGGGATTTGTGACAGTGTGTGCTGATTTGGTTCGTGGTGCGAAGGACAAGAAGTTGAGAGTTAAGGGACCAGTTAGAATGCCCACCAAGGTTCTTAATATCACAACCAGGAAATCTCCTTGTGGTGAAGGTAATTCAACTTTTCATTTTGCTTGTGTTATACTACAAGTTCATCTCATAATTTCTAATGAAAGAACAACATTTAATTTTTGTATTTGATGTTTGTAATGATGTAGGAACAAACACATGGGACAGATTTGAGCTTCGAGTTCACAAACGTGTGATTGATCTTTTCAGCTCACCAGATGTTGTGAAGCAAATCACCTCCATCACCATTGAACCTGGTGTTGAGGTTGAGGTCACCATTGCTGATTCTTAGATTACCAAGTGTTGTTTGCCTTGCCCTATACATTTACTATGTTTTATCTTGGGTAAGATTTCATGTAGGGTTAAATACTTTTTGCAATTTTGGAAGTATTTCAAGTGAAGATTTTCAGAGTTATGTTTATCTTTAATCTATTGTATTTTTATCAACTTAGTGCATTTCAAAGTTCATGCCCATTTTGATATTTTCTGTTGGTGTGTAGTTTCATGTGAGATATTGAATCCAATTACTAAAACCATTCAGACTATTTAGAAGTAATACAAAATTGGTGATCCTATTTAACACGTAGATATATATATATATATATATATATATATATATATATATATATATATATATATATATATATATATATATATATATATATTTATTTTTATTTTTATTTTTATTTGACATTTTATTTTAACATAATCATGAATCCACCCAACCACAATATCCTTAAATAAGGCTCATACTAATTTGATATTTTTGGAGCTTTTTGCTATTAGTAATTTTGTAATATGATGAAAATTTGAAGTAATCCACTAAACAAAATGAGCGATCACTCTGTTTAAAAGGTCAAAAAAAGTTCGAGTTTGTTAATATAAACGAGGCCACTGTGGTCATATTTTCTGATTATCCCTTAGTTATATTTCTTGTACTAGTAGTTAAACATAAGCGGTATCCTTAAAAGACATTCTACAATGCGTGTTTTATCTATTTCTCAATCGACCTCAATCATGCATGAATTCTCTTTTCTCGTGAAAAGTAGGGCCTTAAAACCTAATTTTATTACTTTTATCTCTAGCCCTAAATAAAAATCGTAATAGGCATGTTTAAAAGACGATATAAAGTAGAACAAAAGAAGATTAGATACAAATAAATACATGTATGCAACCCTTTGCAGATTTACAAAGAACACCACCATCTTCACATAGACCCAATCTTTGAAGTCATCAAGAAACAAAAAAAAAGCTATGTCCCACACGGGTCTTGAAAAGTAAAGCACCACATGATACCAATCTTTGAAGTCATCAAGAAACAAAAAAAAGCTACGTCCCACACGGGTCTTGAAAAGTAAAGCACCACATGATATCCAAAATCCAGTAGCAAAACCAACTCCCCCACCAATATAGAACCATACCCAAAATTCATCTAGACCTTCTCCATCACCCTTACTTTTACCAATGACAGATGGTACTTCATCTTCTTCGTCTCCAAGACATTTTGTAACAAGGGGAGGTCCACATAATCCTATGTTTCCATCGTATCTTGAAGGTTCAAAGGACTGGAGTTAAGTGCTAGATGGAATTCTATCAGACAAATTATTACATGAGACGTCTAGGTAATCCAATAAACTCATTTGAGACATGCTTGATGGTATATCTCCTGACAAATTGTTTCTAGATAAATCCAAAGCTAAAAGTTTTTTCATCAGACCTATATTACGTGGAATCTCTCCACGAAGAGCATTCCCTGATAAGTTTAGCGCAATCACTTCATAAAGATTGGTGATATCATATGGGATTTGTCCTGTTAAATTGTTGCTTGACAGGTCAATGCTCTTCAACAATCTCAAATTGTTAATGAATTCACGTTTATCTCCTAGCCACTCAACCACTGCATGGTCAGCATAAGCAACACCATCTCTACCTAAATCGAAATACGATGAGTAATCATATTGTAGATCTTGTACTTGTGTGAATCCTTCTTGAACCATGCTAGTAAGATTGCTCAAACATGAAGGAATGGTTCCATGGAGATTGTTTATTGACAAGTCCAAGATTTGAAGGTTTTCTAATTCACATAATTGTAAAGGCATGGTTCCGAAGAAGTTGTTTGATCGTAGGATAAGAACATACAACCTCAATAAGTTTCCTCCAATCCAAACAGGAACGTTACCCGAAAACTTGTTGCCCCCCAAATTCAACGAGTTTAAACTCGTACAATTCTGTAAAGATATGGGTAATTCTCCAGAGAAGTTATTGTTGTATAAATACAATACCTTGAGTTTGATCAAAGATTCAATAGAAGTAGGAATTCTTCCTGATAGATTGTTGTGTCCCAGATTTAGAACTTTTAGCTGTTTGAAATTCCATAAACAGTCTAGAAGTTCCCCGGTTAAAAAGTTATGGGAGAGATCAAGAACTTGTAAAAACCCATCAACAATTTGGCATAAAAAGGAAATCCCTCCATAGAATTTGTTTCTCGAGAGATTTAATGATGCCATGGTGGAAGAAACATTAGGTATTGGACCGTAGAAGTTGTTGGAACTCAAATCCATGACCGAACCAAAGTCAAAATTCGATGATAAATCTGGTACTTTTCAACTGATGTTGCTGGAAGAGAGATTAAGATAATGTAATCGTGAAGGCCACGTGTCCCAAAAATCAAGAGGAACTGTGTCTGATATTCTAGTGTTAGAAATATCAAGACGAGTAAGATGTTTGAGATTTTGAATCCATTTTGGGAATTGAGGCCCTAGATTGCAAGAGCTTAGATCAATCGCCTCTGCAGAAAGGTTTGACATGGGATCTATGGAAGGAACTCCTTCGAGTGAGTTTTTTGAAAGATCGTTTATAGAAACCTTCGAGTTTCCAATGTTTACAGAGATGGCACCTCTAAGATTATTGAAAGAAACGTCAAGGGTTTCAAGCTTGGGTAATTCCCACACTTTCTCACTTATAGTTCCGTTTAAGTGATTGTGAGATAAACACAAGTATCCTAGGTTTGAAAAGTTTTCAATCTCATCGGGTAATGACTCTGTAAATTGGCTCCCTCAAGTTGACAACCATTGTAATGTAAATGATGTGCATCCAGACAAGTTGTTCAGAAAATCAGGAAGGTTGACAATAGCAGAGTTGTTTTCCAATCTAAAAACTTCCAAATTACAAAGGTTACCAAGATATTTTGGTATCCTATCTATGGGGTTGTTAGAGAGCAAAAGAAAACGGAGCTTATTATTGGTTAATGGGAACAACCAACTATACATGGATGAGGTGAGATTGTTGTTTCTAAGATCAAGGAATTCAATAGATGAAGAAGAGTTGACAAAAGAAGAATACGGATCCATGACTTGAGAAAGCTCACATTCTTGTAAACTTAAATGTGATAGTTTTCCAAGACCCAAAACTACATTAACCCAATTGTTTGCTTTGGACATGGAGATCTCATCCATCTCAAGATGTTGCAAATAAGATAGATGAGACATCCACTCCACATTTTCAACTCTACATCTTCCAACATATCCAAGGAGAAGCTCTTCTAAGTTGGTGAGGTTTCCAAACTCTGGAGGAATGGTTCCATAAAGAGAGTTATGGGAGAGGTCAAGGTAACTTAATTCGGTCAAGGAACCAAGTGAGGCTGGAATGATTCCATTAAAACCATTGTCGCTAAGATCAAGGTACCTTAATTGAGTCATGGAACCAATGAACGTGGGAATGGGTCCATGAAAAGAATTGAAGGAAAGTTGAAGATGATTCAAGTTGCTTAAGTTAACCAACGAATGGCTAATCTTACCTCCAAGACCACTGTGCCATAGTTCAAGCTCTATGACATGACCAGTTTCGTTGTTGCATGTGACTCCGAACCACTTACAACAATCGTCTTCTTTAGCTCTCCATGTATAGAGATGACCATTGGGGTCTTGAAGGCCAACTTTGAAATCAAGGAGAGCATGTCTCTCTTTATCAGAGCATTTGTTGACAACACCTTTATCATCATCACCTCCTCCTCCTCCTACCAGCGTTACCAATTAGTTGGCAGTTGTAGTCTCAGTGAGCAGCAAGAGAAGTGAGAAGATTATAAAAACACAAGGATTCATGATGTATGTGCACAACTTGGTGATATTTGGTTTGTATTAATGCATATATGAAACGCCACAGCCCTTAAGGTTATATATAGTGTGGGGTGTGATGAAGAATCTTTCATGTGGATTACCTCAAATTGGCGCCTATTTGTGTCATACAATACTCCAAATTGTGATATTTGAACGAAAGTATAAGACAAATTAAAAATGAATAAATGAAATAAGTTGCCCAAGTTAGACGTCAAAGACTTGCAAGTCTTGGAAATTTGTATTTATTTTAAATATCTTTTCCAAACTTGTGGTAGCTTTTGGCCCTCATAATATGTGATGTAACTCCCAAAAAGAAAAAAACGAACTGTTGGAATCAAATACCATAAATATCCATGAAATTTGGAATATGATATTCTTTTGAGTCTAAGAATTTAATGAGTAGGAAATGAATTTTTCCTACTTAGACTAAATAGTAAACTTGTTTAAATCAAGCCGACTTGTTTAAATGAACCCAAGTTGGTCCATTTCGATTTAGTCCAAGGTGTTTATTGTTTAAACAAAATATATTTTAACTAAAAGCTGCTATCTATGACTCAAAATTTTAAAATGATTAAAGAAATTTACAAATTTATTATAACTTTTTGAAGAACGTAGACTTCATTTAATTTATGATCGATATTATTTCTTTCATTAGTACATGTTATGCCTAGAGATGGTAAAAACACATGTATCTGATGGATACCTGGCACCAGAATTGTAGTTGATTGATGCCAGGGATAGGTACATGGTTTGCCCGAAGTTATAAAATAGGGACAAGGACAAGGAAGGGATCCCCCTAGGTTAACCGAACCCGGGCCAAACAATGTGACATTAATTGTTCACAAACAATATCAATTTCATAATATCAGAATTTCACAAACAATATGAGTATTTCACAAATAATATTACTAAATAATATTCCTAATATCAAAATTAATAGAACTTCATAGTATCATAATTCACAAACCATATCAGTAGATGAAGCTTGACACCCAAACAATATTCAAAACCGGATCTTCAAAAATTCAAACCAACTAAAAGAAACTTGGAGACGAAGCTTGAACTCACTAATCTAGAAGTTGAAGTAGATAAAGCCTTGAACAGATTCATGATTGTTAGAACTTTAGACCCAAACAATGTGTGGTCTCATGAGGTTGGAGGAGTGCATCCACACCTTCTAGCTAGTACTAAACAAAGAAAAAAGGAACCCTAAGTCCCTAAGTCTAAACAAGTCTCATGTCTTATTTCAAAATATATATATATATATATATATATATATATATATATATATATATATATATATATATATATCTATATAGGATATAGATCCGGTAAGAAATTTTTTTTGTAGGAAGGTAAGAAGTTTTATTTCTACATAGTTTTTTGACGAACAAAAAAAATGAATCACTAGATGATTCATTTGTAAGATGATTCACAAGAAAAAATTCTCAAAAAAACATCTTTATGATTCATTTTTAAGTAAATTAAGAAAAGATTCACTTTTATGACAATTTTAGTGAATAACAACAAAATCATTATATAAATGAATCATCTAGATGTTTTTTTGAGAATTTTTTGTTGTGAATCATCTTACAAATGAATCATATAATGATTCATTTTGTTTGTTCCCGAAAAAAATATGTAGAAAAAAAACTTTTTACCTTCCTACCAAAAATTTCCTTCTTATTTGATTTTGACTCTCTCTCTCTCTCTCTCTCTCTCTCTATATATATATATATATATATATATATATATATATATATATATATATATATATATATATATATATATATATATATATATAAAAGTAGCATTCATTTGGTATAGTGTTTGATAAAACTAAATAATAAGTAAAATAATAAGTAGCATTCATTTGTCATTTAAAGGAGAACATACAAGGTCCAAGTAGAGGTGCACATGGTCCTAGTAAATTTAGTTTTAGATTTTTTAATATCAGGATCACAGATAAAATCAGATCTAGCCAATTTCAGATTTTGGATAATCCAGAATAAATTTTAGTTGGAAATTATAGGATCCGGTCGAAATCTGTGGATAGATTTTTTTTTTTTTTTCTAGATTTTGGTTGGAAATTATAATTTTTTTTAGATAAAGGTATCCTACAGATAATCCTATCGAATTTTTTTGTAACCAAATAAAATAATATAGTGGTTGGATTATTTTACAGATAAAAAGCTTTGGATCCGTTTTGTGATCCTCTAGGCCCAAATATTGTTCATATGAAACTTTGAACATGTAATTAAAGCATACCCGACGATAGACGTAATACCATCCATGGCGTGAGAATTAAATCATGGAATGCAAATAGTTAACGAAGCTGTCTAGGTTTTGAACGTAGGCCTCCATTTTAAAATTTCATTTCCCAACCACTAAGCTCTATGATCAACATGCATATTGATTTAAATATGTAAAACACGTATTCAACCTCATATGTTATCAAACAAAATTGTACACAATTACAAACTTCTTAACGATTGTAAACCACTTTAAACACTCACTACTCTTGTCTTTGTTCATCAAAAACATACAACATTGCACCTAAAAATTCGTTTATCTTTAGTACAACACCTCAGAATTGTCACCTAGCTTTTGGGTACTCTTCACTCCAAAAAACTTACATGGCTCGGGTGCATGCATGCTTAATTATTATATATAATTGTCGTGCGATAGGCCTTAAAAGAATGAATGTTTGGCAGGAGCTCGACCAACAACCCTCATCAAATTAGCCACTTCCAAGATCCTTGCCACTTTCGTCCCTTTCTTTGCCTCTGTAGTCGCTCTCCTTTCTTCTGCTTTCCTTCGAGCTTTTGCTATGTCATTCTGCATTTTCTCCATTGCCTTTGCTCGTTTCTCCTCCAGTTTTCTCTACACCAACCAATATGATCGATCATGTTCGTACGTATTACATTTAAACAATCTTTATAGCGACTTTGATTCAGCATATAGCTTAATAAAATCATATATATGAAAAGGAAATCAGTTAATCTTCTCACATCGGATCTTTACTATCCACTCTCCTATCTCAAAATCGGGAATAAAAATCGCTATCTGAAAATCGATTTCAGTGAATATAAGGGTTGTACTATGTTCATTTGAAGTTGTGTCCGAAGATAGATTAGTGCTACAGGGTTCTCTGCAGTTGATTTATAGTACTTGCATAAAGATAATGTACTAACAAAATGACAAAAACTACAGTTACGATTGTTTACCAATTAAAAGACTTTTCGTTAACACTTAACAGGATACGTGTGTATGCTTTGACCCGTTAGAAGAATCGTACGTACCTCAACTTTCTTCATCCACAAACTGGATTTCTGAACCTGTTCATTCTCCCACCCGTTAATGATCGCATCATCACGTTTGAATCGATTATTGATCTTTGAGATCTTGGCGTTTTGCCAAGCGGATATCTTTGATTCGACCTCATCTTTCTTCATCCTCTGAACGGACACCTCGCTATGGTTTCCACCGGCGGTGATCATGGAACTTGTGCCACCCTGTGGTCTAGTCGGCGACGCCATAGGATTATTATCTGGCACGATCGCTAACGGATTAGTTTCTCTCGTATCTTCCTCACCAATCCTTTCCAGATCACTGCTTCCATTGTTGGTGTTCATACTGTTCACTCCCTCGCTGATTTCGCTTCCGTTTATGCCAGTTCCGGAGGGCATTAAACTCTCTGCTCATGGTGGTGAAGTTTTCACTTTCGGTGCTGGTTACTGAGAGGGATGAGGATCGGTGGCTGGTGGTTTCCTAGGGGTCATGGTGAGGGCGATAGGGTGGTGGTGGAAGTGGGGAGGTTAGAGCATGGATTTCTCTAATGTTTTCATCATCATCATCGCCTTGTTCTTGATCATGTGAAGAATAAAGTGTTTGATCATTGAACATGCTTGTCTTCTGGGAAGATAACAAAACAGAAAGAACAAGAATTAGAGCTTGGAGAAAAAGGGTTGGGAAGGAGAGAAAATGGCGTAATCACAATATAAAGTATGCATTACGATGATATGATTAATGATGTTGGGTTAATTAAGCAAAAGAAAAAAAATACTAAGCAAATACTAACCACAAAAAAGAAAGATGACTTTGCATGGAGTGTAGACTCAAACATCTCTTCGGTAAGAAGTACTTATCATGTTTTCCTTATTAAAATTTTCTAACATATTTATTTAGTAGAGGTGATAAAAATCACAAGCTATGTTGCTCGTTTTGGTGTTATAACATATTTTTAAAGTAATTATTATCAAGATGGACTAATGAGTTCCATTTACTTAGCGAAACAAGAATATATTCGGAGTGACAAATATGGACTTACAGATATGGGGTTCGGTGAAAGCACCCATGGGTACAAGGTTCTAAGGGGCAACACCCTTGGTGTGGTCTAGGGGCAGCGCCCCTTGAGGGGTCTAAGGGGTAGAGCGCCTGACGGTGGTTACTAATTATGATGTAATAATGAGTTATGTGCCAACGAGGGAACCTTGCCTGTCCACATCTCGTGAGGCGTTTTGGCAACCTTCTTAGTTGGGACTAGATTAAGGATATGAGCGGCAGTCTCTAAGATATACTTCCAAAATGAGATAGGTAACGAAGTTCGACTCATCATGGAACGAACCATATCCAACAATGTTCGATTGCGCCTCTCAGCCACACCATTGAGCTGCAATGTTCTAGGTGACGTCAATTGTGAAACAATTCCACATTCCTTAAGATAGTCGTGGAACTTGATACTAAGATACTCACCAACCCTAATAGATCTGAGCATCTTTATTTTCTTGCCTAATTGATTCTCCACTTCTTGTTTAAACTCTTTGAACTTTTCAAAGGTTTTCGACTTGTGCTTGATTATCCATCAAGGTCACATAGAAATGGTTTGCATCCCTTTATGGTGGATCTGAAGGGCCCACACACATCTGTGTGTACGAGATCCAACAATCCCTCACTTCTTTCACAAATACCAATGAAAGGTTATTTAGTCATCTTTCCAAGTAAACAAGATTTGCGCGTGTCATCTAACTTTAGGTCAAATGACTCCAAGACTCCATACTTTTAGAGTTGGGCAATGCACTTCTTGTTGACATGTCCAAGACGAAAATGCCAAAAGCATGCATTTTCTAAACCATTAGACGAATCAATATGCAACACATTATTTCCTAAGTTATCTACTACCATCACAGTTTCATATACACCATTACAAGGCAATGCTTCAAAAATATAAAGTATCATTATAGAAAGCATTAATAGAACCAACTTCATTATTAAATGAAAATCTAAAACCTTGTTTGTACAAACCATGAAAAGAAATAATATTCCTTGTTATCTCGGACGAGTAGCAACAATCATTCAACTCTAATCCTAACCCACTACTAAGCACTAAAGAATAGATCCCGATCTTGGTGACAGGCGACGATTTTCTATTCCATATTATCAGGTTCATCTTCCCATGCTCCATATCCCTACTTCTTCTTAGGCCCTGCAAATAAGAACAAATGTGAAAACCATATCATGTATCAAGGACCCAAGAACTAGCATGTGATGAGTTATTAGATTGAATAATATAAATACTTGCGAAGGAGGGCTTTATCTTCCCATCCTTGATGTTCTACAAGTATTTCAGGCAGCTTTGTTTCCACTGCCCCTTCTTGTGACAGTAGAAACACGTTGCTTCTTTAGGATTGGATGAGGGAGTGATAGAACCGGCTTTACTTTTGGATCCATTAGAAGAGGATCCATCATGAGACTTTCCCTTGTGGCTCTTAGAGAGAGCTTTCCTCTTTTTCCCTTTACCATGTCCTATAGCGAGAACCGGGGTAGCAACAGTAGAGGTGGACTCAACAACTTTGCCTTTAAGTCCACTTTCATCAGTTCTTAACAATACTTGAAGCTTGCTCAAGGTGACTTCCTCCTTGTTCATATGATAAGTCATCTTGAACTAATCATAGCAAGGAGGTAAAGAGTGTAGAATTATATCAATCACTAACTCTTCGTCACAGTTGACATTCAACTTGAGTAGGCGATCCACATACCTTTGCATCCTTTGCAAGTGGCTCGTGATGGACTCTCCATCTTTCATCTTGGTTGTTATTAACGAGGCGACAATCTCATACCTTTCTTGACACGCGCTTTAATGGTACTTTTCCATCAAATCTTGGCACATGTCATAATGCCAATAGTCCTCGTAGAACCACTGCAAATCAAGAGTCATAGTGGCTACCATAATACATGACACCTTTGTCGCGTCCTTTTCGTGAGCCCAATACTTAACTATTTGTTCAGCAGTAGCTTTGGTTTCATTTATCTCTTTGAGTTCTTTGTCGAGAATGTATTCTTTCTCCTCGTATCGCAGGGTCGTCGAATGTTGCAACTTCATTTATTAAAATTGGATCCATAGAAAGCGACCCACCCACAAATGTTCAAAAGAGAAAAGGAGCTTGAGGAGTTAAATTTCGAGCCAGAAGCGTTGTTTGAGCCAAACATCTGAAAAAGAAAAGGAACAAAGTTTTGATCAGATAAAGAATCCTTAATATAACATCCAAATGAAATATTAAGGCTAGGACCCAACACAATAATTCACAATTCGGAAGAGGGAGGCCGTAATCCAACTGAAGATTATTTGAAGGTAGGTAAATGACGATTTACCAATTCCACCACAAAAAACGAAATGAAGAATTAGGTTTTAAATGAAATGAAATTCCTATATTCTTTTGAGATTCATTAAACTTTTCAATGACATGTTTAATGTCGATTATGCCCTTCAAGTTTGTGACTGGGATACCGAGGATCACAAACAAGGTGTGAATAACCATGCAAATTAGCTTGACACTCTTGATGTCGTTTACCACTTAATCAATGCGTTGGTTAACCACACACGCTCCATTGATCTATGGTAATTCTCGAGCTACCCTTTTCACCTTTGTTAGTCCAAGTTAGTGTGCCGGTTAACCACATACGCTCCACTAATGACTTGGCAAGGTGCAAAGCGCAATTTCATGGAATAGTGTAGCACCTGGTTCCTGGTATGTAAATTTTTTATCTAAGTAATTGTCATTTTAGCCTTGGACTCGGCGAGTTGTAGGTCCGACTCGTCGAGTAGGGACGCGGTCCAGGGGCACGCTTAAGTTGGCGACTCGGTGAGTCCATATCCTGGACTCGGCGAGTCATCGCTGTTTGATGAAACCCTAATTCCAAGGGTTTTCCCCCTATTTAAGCTAGCTTGTGCAACCCAAGCTCGCCCCCTTTCACCCTCAGAGCGCCCTAAATCAAACCCTAACTCGTTTCTTGTGAAATTGAAGTGATTAGAGTGATTCCTTGAAGTTTTTAAGAGAAGAAGGAGAGTGGAGCAAGAAGAGGAGAAGGAGACCAGATATCTTGGTGCTATTTCAGAGTTCTCTGAGGTATATCTCTACTCTATTCTGTTTGCATGCTTAAAACCCCATTAGATCACCTTTTGAGCTCTCCTTGAACCTTTTCCAAGCTTGTGCATGAAGTAGAATTCGTAATAGGTTGAGTATCCGCTAGAACTAGTCATGTTGGAGCTCCAGAAGCTCAGATCTATAACCATTATGGGAGTAAATTGCTGGAATGTCCTAGATCTACCTTCTTAGCCATTATTTCGCCCCTAATCCCCAATCTATTCATTTCTACACGTAAAGTTGGAAACTTTACGTGTAAACCAGGCCCTAGGAATCCAGATCTATGAATGGCATGAGCTGGATCCAAGCAAAATCGCGTGTATGGTTTTTACATGTGGCCAACTCGGCGAGTCGCTCATCTAACTCGGCGAGTCGGTTCGCGAGTCCCAAGGTTGTTCCCTTTTGTGTCTGCGAGTTGGGGTAGTGAGTCATAGGGTATGACTCAGTGAGTTGGAAGCCAGACTCACTCATGAAGTAACTCGGCGAGTCAATGCCATGACTCGGCGAGTTCATGGCAATCTTCTTGTCTTAAGAACAACTCGACGAGTTGTTCATACAACTCGGCGAGTCACAACTTAAAGTGTTCTTCGGATGAAGGCGAACTCAACGAGTTGTTCATACAACTCGGAGAGTAGGATGAAGGACTATTAGACTTGGGTATAGAGAAAGGGACTCGATGAGTCGGCAAGCCAACTCGGCGAGTCTGGTCAACTGGCAGTTGACTGTGACTTGACTCATGACTTGTTAAGGCTAAATGGGCAATTTACCCTGAGGGCGGTTAGCCGTATTTGACTAAGTGTTTGGTGGGAATTACAGCCGGAGGATTTCCGGAGCAGCAGCAGCAGCACACAGACTATTCCCATACAGATCAGCAGCTACTACGAGGTGAGTTACCTTCTAGTAGCGGTGGGTCTACGGCCACAATGCCGGCCCATCAGTAGGAGTTGTATGATGGATGATTGTCTCTGTGATGTTCATCTAAGGTTGCTACTACCTATGATATGTTTATGTGCTAGTATGATATGCAGCTATGTGCTAGTGACAGTAGGGGGGAGATAGTCCCCAGATTACCGGTCGATAGGGCCGAAGGGGCGGTCATGCCCAACCATGCTAGATAGATTACGAGATATATGTGTTATGTGGTAGTAGTAGGGGGGTGAAATAGTCCCCAGTATCCGGTCGAGAGGACCGAAGGGGGAGACCAGCACCCAGATATGCTAGTCAGTATCCGGTCGAGAGGACCGAAGGGGAGGCAAGCTCCCAGT